GTTAGATTTGTTTTTATTGTTTATCACTAGTTTTTTGGGTTTTTTTTTTGTCTTTTTTGTATATTCTTGTGCTCCTCTCTGAGCTTCTACATCTTTCTCGTGAAAGTGTGGAATATTCTCCATTACAGAGCAACACCCCAACAAACTTCTAACAGAGTGGAGAGAGCCTGGACACTTGCTCCCTGGAGTACTTGTTTCTTTTAAGAGAGAAGCAGCTGGGGGATCGCTAAAGAGTATTGCCATGAATCCAGATTTTTAATGCAAATTACTGAAACATGTAACTCCTTTTTTATTCAGATCGATCTATGGAGTTTTCCAGGGCAAGCAGAATGTGAAGGGAATCTCACTCTATCGTTTCGCAGTTCCTCGTGAAGCATTTGCATCACCCACTGAAGTTGGAGACAATTATTGCTTCTGTACAGATGAAGTCATATCACAGAACTGCACGTTGGCTGGAGTCCTAGACATAAGTGCCTGCAAAGCAGGTATAGTAGTGACATGTTACTACCAAATGAGCTGTTTACCTGGGAAGAAAGTGTGTGTCCTGTAGCTGAGGTGCTACTCTAAGATCCAGGCCATTTGTGTTTGTCTGTGAATTCTTTCACAGATTGGGAGACCCTTCCAGCTTCTGCAGCCTCATTTTCCAAAACGAGGACTATAGCATTTCTGTATTTTGCATAGTGCCATGCAAAATTATGATGCTACAGACTGTATAGTGACACTGCAGTATAGAAAGGAAAGGAGGGGCCACTATAAGCCAGAGATAGTCATAGTCCTATTTGTGATAATTCACACACACTGTGTGTATGTGTGTGTGCGCACAACTGTATGCACACGCAGACACTGAGAGACACTACTGGATTAGTTTAGCATCAGTTTAATAAAATAATTATATACAGAGTCTACATTTGGTGTAGAGTGCATAGCATGGGTTCCCCTTAGTCTTGCTTTTGACTAAAGAAGATCATGAAGGTGAAGGGGATAAGTGTCAGTCAGGTCCTTACCTCAACATGAAACTGGGAGCACTGCAAGATCCACAGACAAGTAGGATTGGTAACTACAATTTACAATTTATTCCACCCTGCAATTTATTTTTTTTTGTAGAATCACTTTTTTTTTTTTTTTTCTTTTTCTTTTTTCTTTCTATTTTAATCAGGATTTTGTGTCTATGTAAAAAATTGTTTGCATGGAAAACTACCTCAGAATATGAGCACTGAAGCAGGGTTTAATGATTCAAGTGATTTTTGTTTTGATTTGTTTTGTTTCAAATAGGAAGACCAGTATTTATCTCTCTTCCGCATTTCCTTCATGCAAGTGATTCTATATTGCATGATGTTGAAGGACTGAGTCCAAATGAGCAGGAACATGAGACTTTTCTAGATATAGAGCCTGTAAGTACAATATTTAATAATTGTAACTCAGTAAACTTGTGATGTTTAAATTTCGTTTTAGTAGAGTGAGCCCTTTACCAGACCAATGAGCAAAAGATAAAATATTTTCATGCCCGCTTTGGCAAGGTCTCCTCACACAGCTGTTACATTTTAGCAGAAGTTTAGAACAGAATTTTGAGTCATTCTGACCTTCAAGGTCTGGAAAATAAGTTTTGATTTTTCCTTAGTGGTAATGTGATATTAGATAGATGCTGCAAACTTTAAAGTATGCCATAGCTTTTCTGTGACCTTCAAGCACTTTGAGAAAATTCTTCTCTATAAAAATTCTTCTGTTCCCTTTATACTTCTTTTTTTCCCAATTTCTATAGTTAGCCATTTTTGTTTAATTATTATATCAGTTGTAATTAAATAAATATAGATCAGTTTATTTCCAAGAAAACTGCTGGAAGTCTAAACAGACTAGTCCAGAACAGATCTAATGTAGTTTTTTTGACTATGGTTGTCCAACAGAGCTCCAATGACAGCTCTAATTTTGATTGCCTTCAATTTCCCCTCTACTTCTGTTCCAGTGACCAGATTCTTACCTTTAAGTGTATTTACCAAAGTCTTCTGAATAGTTTGAGATATCATAAGGCTCCAAAATTTTATTTTACTCCTAATCTGAATGAAAAGATAAAACTCAAGATTTCTCACTAAAACGCTTTCAGTCATATAGTTTGACTGCTAAGTTATGTATCTCCAATGAGGAAATCTAAAGTTAGATCTTCGTTTCAGTTTATTTGGAATAAACCAGAATTTCATAAATAAGATATGAAATTTTCAAGAATCACACTCTGTCTTGCTTTCTGGATGACAGAGGGGAAAAGGAGGAGATGAAGAAAAGATCTGGCCTTTGTTTTGATGTTTGTTCTGACATACAACGTTTTTTTTTTACCCTATGAAAAACATTATTTTTACTGAAAAATAAAATTCTACTAATTTCTGCTAGAAAAATACCCTAAAACATATTTTTAAATTAAATTTTTCATACCTGGGTCAGGACAATCACAAGCACAATTACAGGTTGGGTGGAGAACACATTGAGAACAGCCTTGAGGAGAACTTGGGGGAACTGGTTGATGAGGAGCCCAACATGAGCTGGCAATCTGTGCTCAAAGCCCAGAAAGCCAACCGTGTCCTGGGCTGCAGCAAAAGAAGCGTGGCCAGCAGGTCAAGGGAGGTGATTCTCTCCCTCTATTCCTCTCTTGTTAGACCCCACCTGGAGTATTGTGTCCAATTCCGGAGCCCAGAACATAAGAAGGACATTGAGCTCCTGGAGTAACTGCAGAGAAGGGCCACAAAGATGATTAGAGGGCTGGAGCACCTCTGCTGTGAAGACTGGCTGAGGGAGTTGGGGCTATTCAGTTCAGAGAAGAAAAGGCTCCGGGAAGACCTTATAGTGGCCTTCCAGTATCTGAAGGGGCTACAGGAAAGCAGGGAGGCCATTTTACAAGGGCTTGTAGTGAGAGGACCAGGGGTAATGGATCAAAACTGGAAGAGGGGAGATTTAGATTAGAAAGAAATTATTTTCTGTGAGGGTGGTGAGACACTGACACAGGTTGCCCAGAGAAGTTGTGGAAGCTCCATCCCTGGAAGAGTTCAAAGACAGGTTGGATGGGGCCCTGAGCATCCTTATCTAGTGGGAGGTGTCCCTGCCTATGCAGAAGGGTTGGAACTAGGTGATCTTTAGGTCCCTTCCAACCCCAACCACTCTATTATTCTATGAGAATTGATTCAGTATTTTTAACCTTTTTTTATTCAGCCTTGCTTTGTTTGCGAATTACAAAAGTACCTATGGCGAAGACACAAAATCAAAAGTTCTCTGCTAAATGAGAGACCTTTAGAGATATTAAAATTTCATTAAAACTGAATCCTTCAAAACAGAAGGATAAAATAATACCAAGGTGCTTTTTGACACAGTCTATATTCTAGGATTATGCATTCAATTAAAAAAATTAAATTAACATGGGTTTTTTTTCTGGTTTTAGACCACTGGTTTTACACTACAGTTTGCAAAAAGGCTGCAAGTAAATCTCCTTGTGAGACCTGCACCAAAAATTGAGTAAGTACTACTTAATTATTTTGGTTTTAAATACTTTTTTTTTTTTTTTTTTTTTTTTTCCTCCTCCAAGAGGGCTGATTGATCTATTAGAATGTCAGGACAAATGGCTGGGAAAAGGAGGAATGAAAATACTTTTTCAAAGGTTACAAAAGTTTCAGTCAAGATTTTTCAGAGAACATAAATTTCAGCAAAACAGCAAGAATTCTTGAAGAAGGCACAGCCCAAGTCTTTTAACACACATTTGATTTCCTCATAGAAGCTTAGCAGGCAACATGTTCTTACAAATAACATTATTACAAAACCCAAATTGGGACCACGAGGAAGAACTGGAAGGCAAAGTGTATTTCCTATAATAAATCAAACGAGAGAGAGAGTTTATGTGTGCTCTGTTGCTAGGTAGATTTTATCATAAAAGTTGACAGGTCTCTAGCTGTTTCTTTTCTTTTTTTCTCTTTTTTTTTTATTTTTTTTATTTTCATTGGCACAAATGTACATATACAGATGTGCATTTTGGGATCCCATACATCTGGCTTTTAAAAAAAAAAATAATATTTTTTTTTTCCAATCCAGAACTAAAAAGCCACATCTGGAAAGTGGAAATGTAGTTAGAGGAGAAGAAAAGTTTTTAAGCAGAGTGTGGGTTTATTCACCAAACTAAAGTTAACATGCTGTACTTTTTTTTTTTTTTTTTTTTTCTCATTTCAGAGCTTTATCAAAAGTTAAAAAACCTTATGTTTTTCCTGTTCTTTGGCTAAATGAGGTTAGTATATTTTCTATTCATCTTCACTGTTTAAAAAACTTTGAAGTCCTAGGTTTTTCAGTCTTGATGTCCTGAAATTGGGCAATATAACTTATGCTGTGATCTGCAAAATTCTAGAATATATTCAGCAAGTGAGGGTTGCATATTTACCTTTAACTGACATTTTTCTTGCACTGTTTCAGTCTGCTGTTATTGGGGATGAGAAAGCAGAAATGTTCAGAAAGAAAGTCGTGGGTCCTGTCCAGCTGCTGGGTATGCTGCAGATGGTGTTACTGATCACAGGTTCTGTGCTATTCATCTCTTTCATGGGTTCCTTCTTCATATGTGTATCAAAGAAATCAAAATAAGTAAGTACTAACGACTCGGTCTTCAGCTTTAACTTTTCCTCAGGGGTTCAAGAAGTTCAGAATCATTACCTGTTCTTATTTTCTAAGTGGTGATACATTTAGTAGTTGTTCTGTGGGAAATAATCCAGGTAATTTACCTAATGTTTTCAAGTTTTCTTCCAGACTAAACCTTTCAGGATGCTCTTAACACACTCAGGAGAGGGTATTGGGAACTATATCAGAAGACCAACACTTTTGTAATTCCAAAACACAGCATGATTGTTGTGAGTTTCTGAAAATAGACATTTAACCCAAGACTGCTAAACTGTTCTTAAATGCCTTCTAGTACTTCTCTGGGACAGAGGCCACACATCTGCAGATTCCTGTGCTCTTCCAGGACATAACTCTGTCTGTGGCTCAGAGAATCCACTGTAAATTACATTTTTATTGAGTGTTGGATAGGATTTCTCACTTCTTTCTGTCAGTCCTGCACCACTTTCATGTCAGTCTAAACATTTCCTGAACATACCTAGCACACTAAGACTATAAATCCACTCTTATAATGAGTAGAATAACCAAGTGGTCAATTAATGCACTGCTATCTAGGGAAACACCCATTTTTGTAGTGATTTAAAAGAAGGGCAGAGACATGATGTTATGGTCAAAAGTATGCTCTAGTAAGAGTTGTTTTCAAGACAAAGACTTACCTCATCACATGCTGAATTCTGATTTTATTTAATTACAGGGAACAAAAGACTTCAGAAGTAGTCAATGTTTAATTGAAATTTCTGCCAAGCAGCAGTTAAAATTCAGAGACAAAAGGTATGATTTAAGGCACGGTCAGTCCACATGCTATGGAATTCAATATGCTTGTCCATTTTGAGAAGACCAACTCACTAACCCAAATAAGATGATGTTTCTGAAGGTCCACACTTCTGATATCACTAAAGAGGCTGCCATGGAAACTATGCTTTCAAACAAATCATTATTTGAACTTCGTTGCAAGTTTTAAATTACATTCAAGCAGACTGAAGAGGAGGTGCAGTTGGATTTTAGATCATCTTCTGCCATTTATGCAACTTGCTACTTTTTTCTTCTGGGATTTGCAAGACAAGTGAAAGCTGTTTGCTGACCTTCTGTCTCTGAGCACAGGCTGGGAATGACAACACCATTGAGCTCATGCTGTGTTCTAGATGCTCTCATTGCAATTTTTCTTTCAGTTCCTTCAAGGAATGGAAGCTGCTGCAACAGAACTGCTCTCTGTCCTCTATTCAGGGATGTGAACTGCGTTGAATGTGAAGTTTATTATGTAAAGTTACTAACTGTAATACATGAAGTTAATAAAATACCTACTAAAATATGTGGTTTATACATTTTATATGGAGATGGCTCATAGACACAGTCATTCATATGTTTATGGAGCTCATAAAAATTTGTCTCCACAGCTGTTTAGCAATCTGAGCTACCTGCTACCTTGCTCAACAGCTCTTACTGCTCCTCCTGTGTGCTTTCTTTCTGGCTGTTGCTTGAACACCAGCTTCTGCTCTGCCCTAACTCCACTTTGCTCAAAGCTTCCCTCAGGGAATGATCTCACATGTCACCTTTAGGTGACATATTTCAGAATATGTCCAGACACAGAAAGGACTGAGATAATTATTTTGATCAAAAATCAAGGGTTCCACTTCCTTGCTATAGAAGAGTATAAATGAAAACAGGTAGCCCCAATTATTAACTAATAAACCATCTACCACAAGGCAATTTGTTCAACCATTTGTTTAATGAGGTGCATCAGTGTGTAGCATGCATAAATGGTTTACTTTTTAATTTGATCTGAACGCCATATGTAAGAAATGAGAGTCAATGGGGCAGATAATTGAGTGTTGTGGTGTCTCTCCTTTTCCCATGGACTCACTGGATTCAGAAAGATGGCCTAAGATCAGCATTGTTTAAGATTTCTTCTTGGATCTCTTGTTCCCTTAAATAATAGCTGCAGAGAAAAGGGAAGACAAAAAATGGCCAGCCTGTAATAACCTGGTGTTTGGAAGTAGTGCTCCAGTGGACTTTAAACCAGATTTATCTTGCTAGTAAAGGACAATATCTTTCACCAGGTATCTTTAGTAAAGAGTTTTCACCCTTTGGAAATAAAAGGGAAAACCCTATAGACTAAAATGCCATTATTTTAATCTCATGTTCTTTATGGACAAAGTTACACAGCTATCAACAGAGGTGATGAGTTACAGAAATTCCAAGAGATTCTTGAGGGCAAGGTCTATGTAGTACAAGGCCACACTCTCTTTTTCCATCCATGAACTGGAAATGTAACAAGGCAGAAGATGTGAAGGAAGAGTGGCACTCAAGGGAAGCTCTGCTCTCACTTAAGAGAGCCAATGCATTTGAGTATTAACAGTGCTTGCTAGTCAAGGAAAAATAACACCTTTCTCTCATCTCTACATTACTGCTGCTGTCATATGTGATGCTCTGTTCTCATGTTAATATGGGGAGAGTTGGCATAATTGAAGTCATCCCTAGAGCCCTGCGACCTGGACCACTAAAGTAATTAGGTCACCTTCTCCCCTGAAATACATACATCCCTGCTGTACTTCAAGATCTGACACCAAGTTTTTTCTAATAAAACTAGTCTTCTGTGCCAGAAGCTGAAAGTGAGATCTTTTCACCACAGTAACAGCAGCAATGTTCCTGTCATTTGTGAGGAGCTAGCATTTCAGCTTCGTTTTCTTTGGCTTCAAGCCATTGTCAGCAAGCTAGTGTTTGCTCTGCTAGTGTTGTTCAGTGCCATGTGCTGCTCCAGCAGCAGCGATCCAGAAAGTCAGGCCATGATTTTAAATGTCTCAGGGCCAAATTTTGCATGCACATAAATACTTTTGTTCATATGTATAACCTCATTGAACTCTATGCAATTTTTGACATTTAAACTATGTACAGCACCTAGACTGCACTTGAATGATCATTAGTAGTTTGTTTTTTTTTTTGTCCAAAGCATTGGTTACAGTTATTTTTAATTCATGTTATTATGGCTAATGTTAAGTATTTACATTTGTTCAAACAGTGCAGGATAAACTTTTATTATAAATGCTAATGATCTCAATGCAAATAAAATAAAGCTCAAATGCTTCTTTCTGAGATGTTAATCTGTAATTGTAAATAAAGTCTTCTGTGTTGGATAATGAAATCCTTAGTTTTGCTTTATATTTGGGGTGTACTTTCTTTTCCTAGAGATTGACTTTATAAATTGATGAATAAGTGAGCTTATGGCTAACCTTGTTATGTCATTGCACTCTGGTGCATCACAGCTGCTTAGAACTGTGTATCATGTTTCATGTTGCTGCATGATACATTATAGATACTAGTGACATATATATGCTTTGGTTGCAGAAAGGAGTAGACTTTGTGGGCAGAGCTGAGCTCTAGCATGTCTAAACTGAAGCAATTCTAAAACAATCTCAGAAACAAGCACAGAAAGAGACCTGCTTTCTACCCCTTTGAGCTGTAGGTGTTGGCAGAATGGTGTTAGGACATCCAGCAGCACATCCAGCACTTTGCTGACTCTGCTGGTTTGATGGGTCAGGTGAGTAGAGATCCTGGCTAAGCTTGTGCTTCATGTTCCCCACACATCACAGGTCCTTATAGGTGAAAATTAATAGTGAAAATCAGATCTGACCCAAGATCTAACAGCTCACATACTTCCATCCCCAAGCAAGTGTGCCAGCTCTTGATCTCTAACTGTAATTATACCTTCAAAGCATTTCTTAAAACCTGTTCTTCCCACCTAGCCTACTGGTGTCTGTTAAGGTAATGTAAACATGCTACTACACCCTGAAAAAGAAAGAAAATTGTTGTTTTCTGTGTTTCAACGGTGTGATTAAGCAAGGACTTGTTTTTTTCATTAGTGTACACATCAGTAGTATTTAAAAATAAATTAAATATAATAACTAATTTCTTTCTTTCTTTCTTTCTTTCTTTCTTTCTTTCTTTCTTTCTTTCTTTCTTTCTTTCTTTCTTTCTTTCTTTCTTTCTTTCTTTCTTTCTTCCTTTCTTCCTTTCTTCCTTTCTTCCTTTCTTCCTTTCTTCCTTTCTTCCTTTCTTCCTTTCTTCCTTTCTTTCTTCCTTTCTTTCTTCCTTTCTTTCTTCCTTTCTTTCTTTCTTTCTTCCTTTCTTTCCTTTCTTTCCTTTCTTTTTCTTTCTTCCTTTCTCCCTTTCTTTCTTCCTCTCTTTCTTCCTTTCTTTCCTTCTTTTCTTCAGTAGCCATCTAAAACTCCAAACTAAAGAGGCAAATGACTCACACTTACCAAATGCAAACTGCATTTTATAAATAGATGCTGTTAGTTTTCTGTTCTCTGCCCCTCTTTGCATACCAGATATCCCTGATGCTCTGTGATCACACCCTCTCCCAGCAGTCCCAAAGGAGTACGGGTCTTAAAGCCCATCCAGCTAACTCCAGGCTGGGGTTTTTCTCAGCTGTACCGTGTGAGAAAAGAAACCAGATGCTTTGCAATAGGCGCCACCCAAAGGACATATAGTTTTTCACAAATTCTCCCGCTTCAATTCAGCATAGGCAGTCAAAAATAATGCTGGCTAAAATTCATTGTTGCTTCCTCTGCCAGTTGACACCACCAGAAATAATTACACCACTTTAAAAGCAGTGTGAGAAAAAAACCCAGATCCTAAGTATCTGCTGAATGACTGTCAGATGCAGAACTAAGACAGAAATTTTGATGCTCATTAATATTCTGGAGTCTTTTGCTATAGCCAGGGGCTCCCTTGACTTCTGTGAATCAATGTTCTGCAAAATGCATGTTTGGTTAACCAGGCATACCCATGTTTTTCAGAACTTTGTTTCTTGCTCAGCATCACCCTCATAATACCAAAGATTTGTGGGCAAATCAAGGCTTATATGTAGCTGTGTGTGTTCTTTTTTGTGTGTGACTTAGGTGTGGGTGCACCTTAAATACATTTGCAGTTTCAGCCTTACTAGAATATTTGCATGTAGGACTGGGAAAATCACATTTTTGCCCTTACATTTCTTCATAACTTCTCCAAATGCAAAGCCCACATATATGAATCCTCCTAAAGGTCAAATTCTCCATTGATTCTTTCACGATAGAAGCTAAAACATGATTAGCAACTAAATCCAGCAGCCTTTAGCTACTGTCTTATAAATCCAGACATCTCCTGTGTTTTTACCGCAAGTGTGGAAGCATGTCCTCTGTGCATTCACTCTACAGAAGTAACGGTATTTGCACTGGTCAAACACTGGATCTGCTTTGTGAAATCAGAAGTTATCACTACAATTATTGCACACACACACACACACACACACACACTGAGTGCGATGTGGCAGCACCTGCATTTTATTTTGCAGCCTTGACAACCACAGCCTAGCTGTCATCAGCAGGATAAATTGAAGAATACTGTTGACATTCATGGATTGACACTGACAGAAAACAATGACAAAAGGGGAACCAAGACTCTTTAATTATTTATATTTTTCCTATGAGCAATGGGAAAAAGCACTAAGAAAGAATTTCTGGTAAAGCACATACTTCAATTCAATGAAAAGTCAGTGCAGGTAAGAGTTTAATTCAGGAAATCTATTACAGCTGCCAGTTCTGGTGCCCCCAGCACAAGAAAGATGTGGATCTGTCGGAATATCCAGAGAAGGGCCATGAAAATGGTCTGAGGGTTGGAGCACCTCTCTTATGAGGACAGGCTGAGGGAGTTGGGGTTATTCAGTCTGAAAAAGAGAAGGCTCCACAGGAACCTCATAGTGGCCTTCCAGTACCTGAGCAGGGCCTAGAGGAAAGCTGGGGAGGGTCTTTTTACAGGGGCTTGCAGTGAGAGGACAAGAGGTAATGGTTTTAAGCTGAAAGAAGAGAGATTTAGGTTAGGGATCAGGTGTAAATTCTTCAGTGTAAGGGTGGTGAGACACTGGAACAGGCTGCCCAGAGATGTTGTAGGGGCTCCGTCCCTGGAGGTGTTCAAGGGCAGGTTGGATGAGGCTCTGAGCAGCCTGTTCTAGTGGAAGGTGTCCCTGCCCATGAGGAAGCTGGAACTCGATGATCTTGAAGGTCCCTTCCAACTCAAAAAATTCTGTGATTCTGTAATCTTCCAGGGAGTAGAGACTTCCCTGGGCACCCAGGAGCACCACACACTTTGCTGGATGGATGTACATGCATGTCTCCTGCATAAGATTATTTGGCACTTAGTATAATCCTGAAGCCATGTCTGATAGATGTGTACAGTGTTTCTAACAGTAATAATCAATTAATGTGGAATGTGTTGGTTCCAGAAGCTCCTATTTTTACATGAATCTATTTAGATTACACTAATTCAGA